GTCACTGGGTCAGATTTGCTGATCCCGATAAAAACCGTTGAAATCTACACCCTCGATGAAAAGGTTGCATTCCTCCATTTCATAATTGAAGCAGTTTCAGGTGGGGTTAGATAGAGCTGGATTTCGCGTTCCAAAGAAGGATTGAAATTGCTCTGAAAGCCTTCCATGCAGAAAGATAGGGTCTCTCAAATTTCGTCGAGTAAACGTCGAGGACGCTGAAATTTTCACGCGAGTTTTTGCCACTTCAAAAGCAATATCTCTCTTCGTAAGATCCTGAAAAAGGAAGATAGTTTTGGAAAGCGGAAGGTTTGCGCTTTCTGATGGTCTTCTTAGCTTTCTTCTACATTTCCTAGTTGAGAAGATATCTGCGTCGAGTATGTATCGAGGACGGATCCGGCCACCTGAAAATCCGCTCCCTCCTTCACCATTGCAAGTGTAATTGTTGGCAACGCTTGAAATGGGTCTAGAAAACATCTTCCCAACATAAGCAATAGGAAAAGGGGCAATGGTCAAGTAAAGGATTGGATGTCCTCTTAGCATCCTCCCCTCTTAATCAGCTATCAGGCCTCGGGCATGCCCAACCAAACCACTCAAATTCCACAACATCATAGGATAATAAACTTCATGTAGAAGCACTACGACAAACAGACATAAGGCATGAGATATCATGAGCAGAACAACAATACGTAGATCATAGAAGAGACGGACAAATGGCAGAGTTGACGACCCGGTCATCCGACCGGTTGCAGAAACGGCAGAATCCTCGTTGTTTTCCTTGTCCTCGCTCCGCCCCCTCGATCGTCTTCGAATCGTCCGTCATCTGGAAACACAATGCTAAGCGATCAAAAATAAACATATGACATCCATAGGTCTAGAATAAGCTGATGACCTAGGTAGATAGCACAAAATGAGAATGAATGTAAACAGACCATCATTTGAATACCCTAACCGTTACATCTCCCCCCTTCAGCGAAGTCCGTCCTCGGACTTAGAATCGAATAGGAGGTCGAAGAGAGTTATCGAAGAAATGAAGGTCGGTTATTAAATGTCTGTCCCGACACCATCGGAGCCACTCTATTCCATACGGCTGCCCTCTGTAGGCAAGGTAGAAAGCCTAAAATAAACATACCGTCTTAGCGCGGGAGAGCGCCACGTTCAGGCGTCTCGCGTCAGAGAAGAAAGAGGCCGCAGCGATGGGCTCCACCTCTGTGCGTGTGGTACACAGGATGACCACCGAGTTTTCTTTACCCTGTGCGCTATCGACGGTTGACACCGTGACCTCTGTCTGCTGCAAAATGCGCTCGCATAAGAGCTTTTGGTCACGGTACAGACAGATTACCATAATTTGTGCTGGCGCAAAACCTTTAGCTAAAAGAAAGCGCACCAGTACGTGAGCTAGCCAGTGACTGACTGCACAGAATACGATGGGGTATTAATGAGTGCCACTGGTATACGCGGATTAGGCATGGTGACCCGTGATAACAGTGCTTGTCGAAGAGATGCTGCACTACCACAACTGAGCGAACCGTCATAGAAGAGCTCAGAGTTGAGGTACATCATCTCTATATGAGGACGGTATACTGTCCGCAGATGACATATTGGTGTCCAAGCTGGATTCGTGACCAAATCAAGGACCGATCGAGAACTTACCGCAACGGCTAGTGGTACGTTCTGAACACCTACGTATGGAGGTAGCTGTTTGCTATCCCCGATGAGGGTGATGCGCGCTTCCGGAAAGCGTGATATAAGCGTCATTAGAGTCGCTTCTGGCACCATCGATGCTTCATCTAAAATGAACCTATACCACGAATTACCAATCGTGCGCCATAAACCCTTTTTACACGTTAGGTTTAACGCGGTAGAGACCGTACAAAGGTACACATTGGGTTTATATAATTTAATAAACTTACTAGTTAGTACCTTGAGGATCCCATGAAGTTCGTTCTTCGAGGAACAGCAATCGTTTATGCTCTTTATTTACCACGTTAATTTGGGTATTGGAGAACATGAACTCACGTAATTGTTGACGCTCGTCCGAAAACCGCTTGAACCGTTTATAGTCTTTATCGTCCAATAGGTGACGATGTGTACTATGGAAATTTTCCATGAGAGTGTGCAGAGCAAACGGCGATTGCTGCAGCGTACCCTGAGCGAGAATTTCACTGACGTAACGCACAGCACGGATGTGTTCTGACTGAAGGTCAGCAATTTTTGCACCAATCACATCCAGTGCACTATTTTGAACAGCTGTGACCAGAATGATCTGTTGCTGTTTAGCAGACTCTTCAGCCACACCGACTTACCTTGCACCATATGCACTATCCACAATTTGGATAGGGTATTCTTTATTATACATATTGATTGCATTGACCTGATCATCATTAAGTTCTATTTGCGATCCTGCCACTGTGACAGTGATGGCATTATGATCCGGGAAATCGTACCCGGTTACCTGTATGTCTCCGGATAGGAGGACGCGAGCCGCTAACCAACCTACTGAATTGAGCTTCATGTGTGGCATACAAGAGTGCTCGAGTAGAGCAAGCACGGGATTGGCTCGCTCGTCCAACGTATGGAGAACAGTTCCCACTGCGATTCTCCCGTTCCGTGATGAAAGAAGATACGCTCGCAACCGGACACCATCGGATGTCTCAAGCCGAGCTGTGACATCGAGGTACTCGTCTTCCATCTCAATGTCAATGATTTGTGCTCGCATCAGGTCGTTTTCGTATGCACCCTGAATGGGACGGCCAACAGCCCAACCAGTTTTCTTACAAATAGGTATACGAAAAGCGACTATAATGGGGAAACTGTTTATATTAGGTGATGACCATACGGTGGAATGTACGGTG